GAGTGACAGAGAGAGAGAGAGAGAGAGAGAGAGAGAGAGAGAGAGAGAGAGAGAAGAAAAGTGCCTGCCATAGATGCAGCTGGTGGGGGGAGGGGTTGGTGGGAGGGAAACTGGGAAAATTGATGATGGGAAAAGTTTGCTGGTGAAGAAACTGGTATTGTCACATTATGACTGAAACCTAATTATGAACAACACTATTACTGTGTATTTCACAATGATTCAATAAAACATGGGGGATGTGGGGAGAAAACTTTGAAATAAATTGGATCAAAGCTGAAAGGGGATAGATTACAATAGACTCCTTGAAACTTAAGGTTAAGCAGGAGAACCTAGAAGCAATTGACGGATTATTAGAGTCATGTGACGTCCCCTAACCAAATGAGGAGGAAATAGAGAACAAAAACAGGTAAATATCAGGCAAGGAAATTAAAATAGTAATTAAGAATCTTCTCAAGAACAAAAATACTGTGTCCATATGGATACATTGATGAGTTTTATAAAGCATTCAAAGCTTTACAAGATCTTCTGAAATACTGAGGAAAGAGGAATCCTTCCCAAAAGTTTTTATGAAGTCAACAATGCAATAATATCCAAAAATGATATACTTCTACAAAAGAAAAATTTAGACTAATTTCCAAGACGAACACTAATTCAAAAATCCTCAACAAAATCTTAGTGAACAAAATCCAACAGCATATCAAAAAGATAGTATGCCAAAATCAAGTAGAATTCATCCCAGAAATCCAAGAATGTTTTAATATATGCAAATTAATAAAAGGCAAGGATGTCCACTATCTACACTATCATTCAACACAGTATTAGAAGTCCTAGCAAGAACATCAGGCAAAAAAAAATTGAATAAAAATGTTAAATTGTCATAATTTGGTATTCAAATTGAATAAAAAGTTAAATTATTACAATTTGCAGATTACAGGAGACTATACATAGAAGAGTGTTTATTAAAAAGGTTCTATAAACAATAAATAAATACAGCAAAGTAGCCAGGCTGAAAAGTGAACACATAAAATATGTTGCAATAGAATATGCAAATAATGAACTAGAAGAGGAAGGGATAAAACAGTTTGTCCAAATGGTGTCTGAAGACATCAAGTACCTAGGAATAAACTTAACAAGTGTGTGGAATAGCTCTGCTATGAAAACTATAAAGCACTTAAGAGAGACATAGAAGAATGCCTTAAAAGTGGGAAAACGTCTCATGTTCTTGCATTGGAAACATCAGTGTTGTCAAAAGAATCACCCTACCTAAGTTACTTTATAGATTCAATGCAGTCCCGATGAAAATCCCACTGACATTAGTTAAGGACTATGACAACTAAATAATAAAGTACACAGATCCATTATAATACCTCAAATAGCCAAAGCCATACTGATAAATAAGTAATTGGGAGGTATCTCATTACCACACTTGAATAGTACAAATCTATAGTGATTAAGAAAGCATGATATTAGAATAATAGTAAGTTCTCTGACCAGTGGTTTAGAATGAAATATCTAAAGACAAGTCCCCATATCTATGCTTAATTAATTTTTTAAAATAGGCACATGAAGTGGAGTGAGAATAACTAAAAATAGTATGGGGAAACTGGAAAGTCACATATATATAATGAAATGAATCCATATTTCATACCATATGCAAAAGTTAATTCATAGTGAACCATATAGGGTTCCAGGGATCAAATCCAGGTCAGCTGTGTGGAAGGCAAATGTCCTACGTGCTGTTCTATATCACTCTATCACTCTACACCAATATTTTTAACCATTATTGAGACATGTGGAGGTACTAGTTCTTAGAGATTTCCTGCACTGAAGTTGATTTTACCTGTGGAACTATGCCAAAGAGTCTTAATATGGGAAACTGAGTAGTGGCAAAGTCTGAGAGGAATAGGCATATATTAGAAAGCATTTCAGTGATGCCAATAGCCCTTTTATCATTAAAATTCAAGATGCATACATATCTCTTTGCTTTAATACTTTTCACATATTTTAAGATATATTTAGTAATATCGCTTTACTAAACAAACAAAAAGTCTTGATTTGTCTTTGTAGATGTGTTTGGAAAATATTCATCAAACTTTTAACCTGGGGAGAAGCTCTGTTGAGGCTCAGGTATTAAAATGCAATGGTTTTTTTTTATCACTTTTCCTGAAATTTAATATAATTCTGGAGTTCCAGGAAATTTAAGTCTAAGAATATCCATTGAGAAATCTGAAACAAGTATAAATTTTTCTTTAATTTTCCTTTATTTTACTTGTGGTGACAGGTACTGAATTCAGGACCCCTCACAAGCAAGGCAAGTACTCTACTACTAAAAATTCTTTCACCTAAGGTTATCACAGTAAACGCACGTATAACTATAAATATTTGGTTAGAGAGAAAAATATATCTGTTTTAATTAACTTGAAATTATTATTTATTTGGCTTTCATTTGTAGTGAAAATTTGGCCTCAGCTTAAAATTTTCAGGTGTGCCATTTTTATATTTTTAATATAAAAATATTAAACATTTTTCAGCATCTAATTATCACTATCCTGAAACTTAATTTGAAGAAAAAGTTATGCTGCACATTCAGTACAGGGAAGATAAGAAAATAGGGTCCAAAAGAAATAACCATGATTCAAAATTTGGCAATACAGGGAATGGAGCAATAGCGCAGTGGATAGGGGATTTGCCTTGCATGTGGCCGACCCAGGTTCAATTCCCAGCATCCCATATGGTCGCCTGAGCACTGACAGGAGTAATTCCTGAGTGCAGAGCCAGGAGTAACCCCTGAGCACCGCCAGGTATGACCCAAAAAGCAAAAAAAGAAAAAATTGGCAATACAGAAAAAAACTTTCATACCAGTGTCATAGTTTATTGATCAATAAATACAGTCTTTTCATTTAATAATCACTTATTAAAGCTTGGCCAATGCAGAAAATATTACTAAATAACCATTAAAACAATAAAAATTATTTTTCAGAACATGAGAGTACATCCTGTATTTTATATCTGTCTATAGGATTTAATTTATTTAGCAATAATACTTTTTATTAATTGATTTACTTACATGTTAAAAGAGTAATTACTTGAAAGTAGGTGCACAATAACAATTTATTAGATAAAATTGATTTTTCATGTAGAAGAATGTATCAGGATAACTTATAATCATTTAGCTTATCAAAGATTTTAAATATTAATAAATTTAGTACAAAACAGTAATTATTGAATGATTATAAAGTTTCAGGACATGAACCAAGTTGATCATTATACATATCTTACACAAAGATATGTATAGCTTACACATGAGCCCAAATTGATCATTATACATATCTCCAAATACATATCTTATACATATCTCCATATACATATCTTACACAAAGAAGATAATATATTATTCTGTTATTGGGTCAACATAAATTGGGTATTGGGTATTCTATTATTGGGTCAACATAAATGCATTAACAGAAAAGTGTCTTTTGAACAGAATTTCTTGGTGAAAAATCTCAAAATTTTACTTACATTTATTATAAACAAGTTTATTTTAGAAAACACATGAAGAGTTATCTAAGTTTTTTTAACCAAAATTCCTGAAAGATAGTAGCAGTAAGGGAAACAGAAACATAAGATTATGATTTCAATGTTAGAAAAAAAAGTGCTTGTTTTGGAGCACCAAGAACTATGGCAATATTATGGCAACCTTAACCTATAAACATGTATGATTTCTGAGGACTCCATGAAGATATTCCTCATCTCTCTGATTCTATTGATTCTGTTACCTGAATTATCACATGGATAGAAACTAGACTAATTGAAACTCCTAAAATGACCTTAGACTATTCAAATGAAAGGAAGTTTCTCAGGTCTTTCACTTTAAATTTTACATGATTAAATTTCATTACAGAGAAGATTAAAACTACATATCTAAAATAAATGATAAATCAGTTGAGAGTGTAAAGGAAAATTTTTTGAGGGAAATTATGTGCTACTTCATAAATGAATAGATAACATAAATAAATAAAATGCTTGAGCAAAATAGTCATTGCTGATAGTTTTCTTGATTTGAACAGGTGATCAAACCAGTCATGATATTCCCTTAAACCAAATCTTAGGCAAGAACAAGGCTTTATTTTATTCAATTCTATGAAGACCGAGGGAGGAAAGGACATTTTAGGAGAAAAGTCTGAAACGACAAGAGGTCCCTTAATGAGGTTTTAGGAAGGAGGCCTCTGTATAGCACAATATGCAAGTGTTTCATGAAGGTGCAGCAGATTATTCAGAAAATCTAGCTAAGATCGTTGATGAAGCTGACTACGCTAAAAACATATTTTTTTAATGTAGTAAAAAACATATCCTATTTGAAGAAGATATAACCTAGGATATTCAAAACTGGAGAGGATAGATTAATGTCTGGCTTCAAAATTCAAAGGACAGGTTGACTTTCTTATTGGCTTAAACTACTTGTGATATTAAGTTGAAACCAATGCTCTGTTGCCATTCTGAATGGTAACTACTCAAGACTTATGCTAAATTGCTTTTGTCTCTGGTTGATAAGTGGAGAAACAAAGCTTGATGTTAGCATATCTGTTTATAATATGGACAGGTGAATATTTTAATTTCACTGTTGATACGTTCCTTTCAGAAAAAAAATTTTTCAAGATATTTCTGCACGTTTCCTCAGGCATATACCACTTACCTTTTTAAAATGGTATAAATCATATTAACCTTGATTTTATTAATATTTGAGAAAGAAAAATGGTGTACAGGGTACAGAAAATTCTCGATGATTTTGTGAGTTGAATACTGTTGATTGAATGGGTGATAAACAATTTAATGATCCTACTGCATAGTACAGTTTTTGTTCAAACACATTAGAAAGTGTAGGGCACAGATACAGTTGTTCCCTGGTTACTGTATATATTGTATGACAACGAGTTAACAAAAGGATTATAAAATCTTGAATAATATTTTTATGGAACAGTGTTTCAGTCCCTGTGAATGGTTTATGCTATTTGTCTAAGAGGATTTCTTTGTGTTATTCTTTGAACGGCTTCTTTTACTTCCTTGTTCCTCAAGGTATAGATAATAGGATTCAGAGCCGGTGTGACTACTGTGTACATAAGTGCAGTTGCTTTGTCTGTTTCTGGAGTGTGGGCAGTCTTGGGTTGGAGGTAGGTGAATAGGGCAGTTCCATAGAACAGAGAAACAACCAGGATATGAGAAGAACAAGTGGAGAAAGCTTTGCGCCTGCCAGCCGCTGAAGGAATTTTCAAGATGTTCACAAGAATACGCATATAGGAGCATAGAATGAGGAAACAGGGAGTCATAATGAAGAGCACAGAGATAAAAAACATCACAATCTCATTGTGGGAGGTATCGATACAAGCCAGTTTCACTACAGGCATTATGTCACAAAAAAAGTGCTGAATTGTTCCTGTTCCACAGAAGGGCAAAGAGAAGACCCAGGTGATCTGGGCTGACTCCACCACTATTCCAGTGATCCAAGACGTTGCAGCCAACTTCAAACACACGGGAGGGCTCATCAGGAGAGTGTAATGTAGTGGATAGCAAATAGCGACAAAGCGGTCATAAGCCATAGCAGCCAGCAGGCAGCATTCTGTCAGCCCTAAGATCGCAAATATATACATCTGAGCTGCACAGCCCCCCACGCTTATGATCTTGTCCTTCACCAGAAGGTGCACTAACATCTGAGGAACCACACTAGTGATATAGCACATCTCCAGAAATGAGAGATTAACCAGGAAGAAATACATGGGGGTGTGTAGCGTAGGGGTAATCCAGATCAGGCAGATGATGATGAGGTTTCCACCCACAGTAAACAAATAGATGATTAAAAACACAACAAAGAGCAGAGGCTGTAACTCTGCAAGGGAGGAAAACGCCACAAATGTGAATTTCGTGCAGAGGGATTGGTTTCCATACACTGCAGGCTCAGGGTCAGACATCTCTGCAGACAAAAGAGAGGGAGAGTTACCAATGAAAGGATTCCTGGCCAGAGTGGTAGTACAGCAGGTGCTAGTCTTGCACATGTCTGAACTGGGTTCGATCCCTGGCATTCCATATGGTTCCCTCAGTCAACCAGGAGTAATTCCTGAGCATGGAGCCAGGAGTAAGCACTGAGCACTACTGGGTTACAACCACTCCCCTACAAAAAATACAATTAAAGGAATTCAGCTACCTAACATAAGTTAAACTTTAACCAAGCAGTTTTCCTAGGTTGAGTAGTCTAATATAAGAACCTAGATAATTAAGTTTTTATAAGATATTTAAATTGCCCCTATAAAAATGAATGCAATATACCTGCTGGTTTTGAATCGCAAATCTTAGTCTATTTCACAGCAATTAGATAAACAATGACTTCAAGTTACATAATGATATATTTGTTATTATCTGAATAACACTCTAGTCAGATGTGCAGGCTGTTATGTAATTAATATATGGGGGTGCTCTAAATGTAAAAAGTCACAAGAAACCAAGTGCATGGAGTGAAATGTAAAGGCATCCTATTCTGTTCTGAATTTTGAGTGAAATATAAAGGTGTCCTTTTCTTTTGAAGTCAGTTAAGAGCTTGGAAGGGAGTAAATATTTAGCCATTTAATTATTTATTTTTTTGCATATTTTTACTTAAAAGGGTAAGCCAATAATTAAACAATTAGAATTCATATAAAATGAAAGACACAGAATTTTCATTCCACATACTCAGTATAATTTTGCAAAGAAAAACATACCTAGAATCACGATGTGAGCCTTCTTTTTTTCTGAACTTTCTGGCTTGCTGTGATTCAAATTATAAAATGATAATGGGATCCTAAGTATTTCTATTTTGACTTGATACCACAGGGAATACATTTATTGCATGGTTTAATTATGTTTTTCTCAAGAGGTATTTACTTAGAAACAGCAATTAGCATTCAATGTCTAACATGGTTATCATTTTTTATTACTTTCCATAGGTCATGTATTGTTAGTTTGCATTATTTAAGCATCAAGGTGCAAATCTAAAATTTTCTCAAGATTCCCATCATGCAAATTGAAATAATTATTGAAATTTATGTATATTTGTTATGGTAATCTTGTGGTCTTTTGGGGGGGCACTTATTTTTTGCCTTTTGGGGTCATACACAGCTATGCTCAGGGGTTACTTCTGGCTTTGTACTCAGGAATTACTCCTGGTGGTGCTTGGGGGACCATATGGGATGCCTAGGATTGAACCTGGGTCAGCCGCGTGCAAGGTAAACACCCTACCCACTGTGCTATCACTCCGGCCCAGGGGGTCCCATAGTTGAAATGCATGCTCTGGGTGTACTTCTGGTTCTGTGCTCAGGCATTACTCCTGGCATGGCTTGGGGAATCACCTGGGATGCCAGGGATGGACCGAGGGTCAGCTGTATGAAAGGCAACTGCCCTATATGCTATATTATCTCTCCCTACTCAGCTTAAGTACTTGTGATATCAATATTTACAGCGCAGGATAAAAAAAAGGTTACAAAAATACCACAGATAGTACTAACTGTTTGAATTATTACAATTAAATTTTGGCAGCACTCATAAATAGGCCTTGGTTTGGGAAATTCCAAATTTCTAAAGCAATTAATTAAAATAATTTATCAAAGTTATGAGCTATTTTGTATTATTCTTAAGATGTTAAAGTATATTCATTTTCAAAAATCACAATTGCTTCATGTAGAGCACATTTTTTTATCTCTCACATTTTGTTTAGTAGAATTGTTTAATAGAATACTAAATCTGCTCAGTATAAATAATAGTGACCCCTGAGCAGAATCAGGGCTAAGCCTTGAGTGTAACCAGGTGTGGCACAAAAACAAACAATAGCAGCAAAAAGAATAAAAAATCCTTTTAATGTAACTAAATTTATCACTTAATCACTTATCACTTAATCCCCGTTATTCATCGATTTATTCGAGCGGGTGCCAGTAACGTCTCCATTCATCCCGGTTGCGTGCTAGCGTAGCCCAATGGTATCTGTTCGTTTTAGGAACATGTAGAGCCTCAAACCGATCATTTAGGGTCTTGACGAAGAAGTCTGACCATCTTATAGGTGGGCGTCCACGTGATCTTTTGATGTCTCGTGGAATCCAATCAGTAATGGCTCTAGTCCAGCGGTTGTCTGTAAACCTCATTACATGTCCAGCCCATCTGATTTTTGATGTCTTGGCAAATGAGACAGCGTCTCTGATTCTTGAGCGTTGACGAAGATCAGAACTCCGGATTCTATCTCTCATTTGAGTGAATCGTGATATTCCAAGCATAGTTCTTTCGATTCCTCTTTGAGAGACCCAAATAGTGTTCTCATCCTGTTTTCGTAGGGTCCAGGTCTCTGAGGCATATGTTAATGCAGGAAGAATAGTGGAATCAAAGAGATGTGCTCGTAGTTGGAGGTTCTTTGTCCTTTTAGTTATTTCTTCAATGCTCTTGAAGGCATTCCAAGCCGCTCTCTTCCTCCTGCGTAACTCAGGTGCCAGGTCATTCATCATGTTGATTTCTCGACCTAAGTATATATAACTGTTGCATTCGGAGATGGTGGTTCCGTTGAGAGCGAATGGAGCGTCAAGAACAAGGCTGTTTCTCATAAACATTGTCTTCGTAAGATTCAGCTGTAGTCCAACCTTTCCACACTCACGGTCAAAGTCCGCAAGCATTTGTGCCGCTTGGCTGATGTTTGGTGTTATTAGAACGATGTCATCAGCAAAGCGGAGGTGGTGTAGTTGCCGACCATCTATCTTCACTCCCATGTTTTCCCATTCTAGTCGTCGCATGATGTTCTCGAGGGTGGCACTGAAGAGTTTTGGTGAAATGGTATCACCCTGCCGAACCCCTCTCTTGATATGGATGATTACTTCTTTGTAGAATGGTGAGATCTTGGTAGTGAATCCGCAATAGAGCTCACGAAGGATCCTGATGTATTGAGTTTGTACGCCCTGATTGGCTAGGGCTTCCATGACCGCTTCCGTCTCAACAGAATCAAAGGCCTTCTTTAAATCAATGAACGTTAGACAGAGCGGCATCTTGAACTCCCGAGATACCTCAATGAGCTTGGTTATTGTGTGGATATGGTCGATGGTACTGATTCCTTTTCGGAATCCAGCTTGTTCACATGGTTGTCCTTCATCTAGTGTTCTGCTAATCCTATTCAGGATGACTCGAGTGAATAGTTTGTAGATGACAGACAATAGGCAGATTGGGTGATAGTTGCCAATGTCGTGGATGTCTCCTTTCTTGTATAGTAGTACAGTCTTGCTGGTTTTCCATTGGGATGGAACCTTGCATTCAGACAGGTAGCGTGTGAAGAGTCGAGCTAATGTATTGATGAGTACTGATGGTAAGTTCTTCAGGTGTTCAGGTCTGATCTTGTCTGGGCCAGGTGCTTTTTGTTTTTTTACCGACGAGATGGCATGTTGGATTTCGGAAGGGAGAACATTGGGAACGACATATCCATCATGTGGTATGTGGTATGTGGGCAAGTGGATGTGGCTATTAAAGAGATCTGAGTAGAAGTCATGAATAATCTTCTCCATTGCCCTTCTGGAAGATGTGATAGATCCATCATGATGTCGGAGGGCAGTCATCTTGGTTTTGTAGTTGGTGAAGGACAGGCGGGCATTACGAATGTTTTTCCCAGCTTCTGCTGCATCTACCAGTACTGCTGCTCTCCTGCTTTTGAGGTCATCCTTGATGGCTTTTCTGCACTGTTTTGCCAGTTCGGACGTTTGCTTGTGGTTGCCTGAGGCACGTGCCACGCCACGTTGGCGAATAAGTTCAAGAGTGTTCGAAGAAAGACGGTTTTTTGTGGTTATCTCTCTCTTGGCATTCCTTGCACAATCATGGAGGTGCTGAATCATTCGATCGTATTCCTCATCAATGTTGTCAATGACGGCATCTTCCCATGTTGCTGCAACAGAGCCAAAGAGTTCCCAGTTGGTGGTTGTTCTGGGAGTCTTCTTCTTAAACCTTGCATTCTTTTCTCCTCGTTCTGTGAGGTAGAATTTTGCACGAAGAAGACGGTGGTCTGATCCCGTTTGGAATTTTGGGACAACAGCAACATCGGTTAGGCAAAACCGCCGATTGAATATGATGTGGTCTATTTCATTGTGGAACCGTCCATCGGGAGACTCCCATGTCCAACGTTTAGATTCAGCCTTTTGGAATTGTGAGTTACCATGGAAGGTTTTGGTTGACATGATGAACTCAGACAGTCTGTCACCTTGTTCGTTCCATTCCAGGCCATGGGTTCCGATGTGGAGTTCATCGACTGATCTTCTTGGTCCTATCTTGGCATTAAAATCACCGACAATGATCTTGTAGAAGGCGTGATCTTCTTTATAGAACTTCTCCAGCTCCATGTAGAATTTCTCAGTTTCTTTTTCACCATAACTGGATGTTGGTGCGTAGACAACAAAGATAGAAACTGCCGGTAGTGAGCCACATTTATTCAAGTGTAATCGTCCGATTCGGGTTGTTAGGCATTCAAATGAATCAATGCTTGTGACTAAGTTTGTGTTGACAAGGATACCGACACCACCGACGCCTCTTTTATCACATGTTCCAAGGAACAGTTCTTCTCCAGTGTCGAAAACAGCATGATGGGATTGATGTCTTCTCGTTTCGGTCAGACCAATGATGTCATACTTGATCTTTCGTGCTTGTACCATAAGGTCTTCAATGGATGCAGCAGATGCCAGCGTACGAGCATTAAAAGTACAGACAATCATTTTTGTTTTTCTGCGTTTTGGCAGCCCATGTCTGCCTTGGTGTTTTATCAGTTTCTCCTTCCATATCCTTCTCGACTCTGCATAATCAGGGCTAGGGGAATGAGATCCATTTATTACTGGATTTGGCATATCAATTTGGTCTATTTGGCATAGATCACGGATAGCTTGCCAGGCTCTGCCGTGTGGGTTGGATATCCTGGCCTTTGTTGGGGTTA